AGCAATGTATAAGACAAGAACTAAATTTGGCTCATAGCTGATGTAGTTAAGGGAAGGCAATTGCAACTACTCTACCTTGTTAAAGTAGCAATTACTGTTTAGCCCAATGACTAGTAAGTAGTGATGCATACCTAAACCCAATTTTTAGGTTCAGGTCCGGATTCAAGTCCAGAGATTTAGGTTCAGGTTCTAAACCCATGGCATATACAAAATTGCATGTTGGCAACCTTGCAGTGTTGTCTGGGTGAAACTTTGGCCACATAACATGGAGGCCGGTACTTGACGATGCCTGGTGGAAATGTTTTCTTCATTTTGCAGCAAAGATTTTACAATCTACGGAAGGTTTAGGTGGTAAAATTGGAAGGAAAAGGGGTATGTGAAATGGTCTTTTATGGTAATAAGTCCGGACTCGGTTCTTGACTTTTAGGTTTTTTTGGACTTGAACCTAAACATTCTTACAAGTCCGGATCCAAGTCCAGTGAACCGGTATGCAGCGCTACTAGTAAGAGTGGTGATCATACGACATGTATACATGAACAGCCTTGACAAACAAGATGTTCTTGTAAGTCAACACTTCTAAAGACAGTTTGCTCTATTTCCTGATTCGCCAAGTTTTCTGATCACGCACACTTCTCTGATCATGGAGTTAGAAGTTAACTCCTTGCTCTGATTGACTTCATAGGCCAGGCATTCAGAGAAATGGGGTCGTGTGGCGCAACAGCAGCGTGCGCGACTCGGAATCAAGAGGTCCCGGGTTCGAGTCCTGACATGCCACCGATCTTGTACCCTTGGGAAAGGCACTTTACACAACTTTCCCCACTAGACTCAAGTGAAAATGAGTATTGTCTGTCCAGTATCCGTTTCTATGTGTGGGACACAACACCAGCAACAGCTCCCTTTGTTCCGCATGTATTGCATTGTTGCAATTTCAATAAAAAAATAAAATAAAATGAAATAAAATGAAATAAAATGAAATAAAATAAAATAAAATAAAATAAAATAAAATAAAATAAAATAAAATAAAATAAAATAAAATAAAATAAAATAAAATAAAATAAAATAAAATAAAATAAAATAAAATAAAATAAAATAAAATAAAATAAAATAAATAATAAAATAAATAATAAAATAAAATAAAATAAAAATAAAATAAAAAAATAAAATAAAATAAAAAATAGAAATAAAAATAAAAA